AACTAAAATAAAACATGAAGAAAAAAAAACACTTAGCTAATAGACTTGAATCACTGGTTTGAAATCATGTGCTCTCCCTGCTGATGTGAATGCAGGTGGGCAATGTAAGAACTGCTGTGACGTCTGAGTAAATGACAGCGGGCCTCATCTCTTCTCTAAACAGTCCAGCACTGAACACAACCAAATGATGCAAGCTTGATGCAACATCCTCAGCTCCAGTAAAAAACACTACGTTTGGGAGCAACTACGGCTTTCCAACACAAATATGACAGAAAACACGAATGTGCATGAACACAGACACATGCTACAGAAAGCTGTCCTATCTGACCATTTATTATCAATGCATATACTGTAAATATTGACATTGTCTATTGAAAAACCCACACTAATGGAGCACTACAGTAATGTCTGAGATAGAAAGCCACTATGAGTCTCACACGCTTTCAGTCTTTCATTTGAATCATTATTTCACATTAAACCGAAGCCAGGGATGTGAAAAGAAAATCATTTAACTGGCTTCACGCTTTTAAGAGTGGCAGAAATGCTTCCTCGTCCTGTACTTTCTCAGCTCGTCCTCCTCAGATAATTCATTCATTGGCTGTTTGTTTGAATTTGTCTGATTGCATTGGCTGCAGGTCGATGCTAATGGCTGCTATTAATCTAACGCAGCACTACAAGCCTCAGTCTTCACATTACAATGAGACTGTGACATCACTGACAGGAGGCGGGGTTATGCAAATGATATAGTTAGAGTCAGTCTCTTCTGTGTCTATGAGCACAGGAGCGTTTATAAAACACTCAACATTGTAAAAGATTTTTAATGTTTTTGAATGGAAGTCTCTGCTATTTTGTATTTTTTATTTGATCCAAAATACGGTAAAAACGGTAATATTAGTACAATTTAAAGTAACTGGATCTGTTCAAAGATAGCATTTGGAAACCCAAAATCACATATTTTGAGACAATTAAAACTTTTTATTTCATTATATCATTATTTCAGCATTTTTTCATCATTTTTAAATTATGTATTCATCCATTTATGTTTGATACAGATATGTTTATTTGTACATGTGTATAATATATGCTGATCTCTTTATTTAATTTGTATGCTATTTATGATTTTTTTGTATTATATTT